TAATTTTTCAGTTTTGTTCATTGAGCCACTTTTATTTACTAAAAGCAGCTTGACCAATGAACAATAGAAACAGTACTTCATATATTAAGAAAATGTACCATTATATGTAGAAGATTTTCCCAACAATTTTACAAAAATTATTATTTTTAGTCTATTTGGAATATATGCTCTTAAATTCTTAGTCAAATATACATTTCTGCAAAAGATAATAACAGACCGGTACGCCAAATGTATTCCACTAGCAAGTAGCTTGCTGAATATGTATTTTAACCTTAATAGTGAATGCGTTTTATGCTACATTCATCTGCACTGATGAATGTAGAGCTAACATGGCTGCCATTGCAAACCCACACTGACTAGTCTGAACTGCGGGCATGCTACAGATTTATAAGATGGTTTTACCACCAGATGGCAGTAGTATAATATGATAATCTACTGACTAAATCGCTCTTAAAATCCGTTACTTGTAAATCGGATATAGTGTTAACTCGTTTTTTTCTGTTTATGTTCTAATATGATTTTTCATATGAACATTTTTGTGATGTGTGTTTTCATTACTGACTGAATACCGTCCGAATTGTTTTTGAAATAATTTTCAGATATTTTTGTTTTAATAAAAATAAGATAAAGAGAAAGAAATACTAAAACTAGTTCTTGTGTTTGACATCAACAATAATATGTTGTTGTTTTTTTTAAGGAATACATTCTTATGCCTGTCATCAAGTAATACTTTTGAGGTAGGACAGACTATCCACAACTGGAAACACTTTTTGAAAAGTTGCCTCATGTCTTATGTGTGTACGGAATGGGTTATGTCAGAGTTTCTTTTTTGTTATAGTTTGCCTAATAATTGTCCTTTAGGGGTTACTGAAGATGATTGATTAATCAAAACTTTCCAAATATGGTTGTTCCAGCAGATTCACCCTGTGCTTAAGACCATACAAAAATTTCCAAAAAAAACCTAGGAGCTGCAATACGCTACAGGCCATTATTGGCTTATTCATTTTTGAAATCCAAGACAGTACAATTATAAAAATGTGAAACGGTAAATGGCCTTTTTGGAAAGAATTACTAGAAGAAACCCTCTTTTATTGGAAAAGAACTTAGTGTGATGTGCATTTGCAAAGTGAGTGGACCCCAAGACTTCTGGAATCAACACATAATGCACTGCACTGTATTTTGAGAACTCTGAACTCAATACAAACCGTATACCAACAGAGTTGAACAGGGGTGGCGTTTTGGGCACATTTTGCAGTCACAGCCCCTTAGAACCTTTCAGTCATTGGTTCGGCCATGAACTCCTCTCTGTACCAAATATTTTCAGTTGGACTTATGCAGTCTTTCAGACAGCTAAGCTTGGTCATCAACAAGAACATGATCAAAAGAACACCAGCAAATCTACAGCATTATGGGCGCAAAAAGAAAAACAACCAAGTTGTTACAATGGCTGAGTCAGAACTCAGTACGATTCTAAACTGATACAGAACCTTAAAGGAGCTATAAATAGATCTAAATGAGCTGATGGAGTGTTGTATAGAACTAAACTGTTTCGCAATCATACAAGAAACCTTAGATGTCAGACAGGAAGCTTCATACTGTTGATAAAAAATGTTCTACATGCTAATCGACTAATGGTCATTTTTACAAAACTGTACTTCAGAGCAGGGTTTTGTTCATTATAGTGTTTCATGGTGTCTTTTTACAGCATTCTTTCTTACAACTCAATGTCTGGGAGAGAAGTGTTGCCCTCTCAATGTTTAATGTACAACCCCAGCTGCCAATAAATATTTTTCTATGCAGATGTATGACTACAGAGCTGTGTTTCTTTTAAAAATGTATCATTAAAAATGATATCCTAAAAATGACTTATTATGACAATGGTTTTCTGCAACTGAAATTTTTTTAGTCCATCATTTTGAGCAGCCCAAATGTTTTGCTCTTGTTACATTTATAGCTTAACTTTGCAAAATTGAAACTGTATGTAGTTTGGTCAGCAGATAGGTCACTGAATCATATTTTTTAACGTACTACATTTTACATACATTTTACCACAAAATGACTTGTGGTTCACTCTTGGCACAAAGTTTATCTTGTTCCCAGTAGAGGCTGAACTCTGTCAGGGCATCTCCTTATCGCTGACCTTGTTTGTGTCGTTCATGAACAGAATCTTGAGACGCAGTCAGAGAAAAGAAGGTGTCTCTTTGGAGAACCTTAGGGTTTTAATGTGAGTTTTCCATACAAAGTGGTTCTGTCGCCATTTTTAAGCCATGACCTCCAACGTCAACTGGAATGGTTTACATCCGAGTGTGAAGCTCCCTGGAAGTCCTCTAATTTTAAGGTAACGGTTTTCAATCATAAAAGGTAGAAAGATCCCTTCAAGGACATCTGTCACACGTCCCTCCGACAGGAAAACAATCACGAAACGTCAGTCTTCCGATTCCAGTTGTGTACTTCACAGATGGAATTGTGGTCTTACATTGGCAAGCTTCCTCTTTTTACTTTCGAATGTAATGAAGGATTTAAAGAAATAAAAATATCTCTGTCACTAGTCTGGTATTTAGCAAAAGAAGCAATTTTGATAATCCAGTCTGATTAACATCAGACGATTAATGACAGTTCATCTGGTTTCTGCTATATACATATTACATTTGAATTGGAAATACATGGAGATCCACCAGCCTGAGTTGGAGTGTGCTGCTAGACAGGGTGATGTAGATGGATGGACAGACGGATGGATTTATTTCATACATTTAGGAAGCAATTAGTTAAAACTTGACAATGCAGAGATTTGAACTCTCTCCCGCTGCCATTGCCCCACATTGTAAGTCCCAGATCTTTCCAGAAGCTCTCACTGGTGATGCACATTTATCTGGAGTAAAGGTAACAAGCAGCACCAGAATTTATGAAAGATTTTTTTTCTTGTGCCCCATCAGCCATTTCTCAACAATTGCTGATCTATGAAGTCAGAGACGGGTTACCTCTGAAGCTATCAGAAGCTACTCAGTTACCACTCTGCTATTATTCTGTCTAATCTAAAACCAGGCCAGCTGAAAAGAAAAAAAAATGTCCTTGTGAGAAAAAGGCATAGAAAAGTATGGCATGCAATCAAAAAATAATTATCAAAGACCCTGCATCCTTTCAAAAGCATTTTATTTACTGTGTTTTTCACTATAAATATAACAATGAAGAACAAGGTCTTATTTCTTTTTAACAAACCTCCTAATAGAAAAAAAAAAGTCTGCATGAGTCTACAAAGCTTTAGCAAAGACATTTTGGCAATAAGGCACACAAGGAGGAGTTAAAAGTTTACACCTATGTTAGTCTAGACTTCACTTCACTGACATGTTTTTTTTTTTTTTGCCTTTTTGTTAACTCCAAAGGCAGCTAAATCATTGTTGGACTCTCTGGACAAAACTAACATGCAGAGTTGCAACACAACCAGCTAAAAATGCCAGGGTTGTAACACTTCAATGAGCCAGCTTTTAATCCTTGCTGAAACTGCTAAAAAGTAGCTGAACATGAAGGTTCTTTGTGTTCCCACTCATAACACCAAAGTACATTAGGTTACAGATTAGAAGATTACAATAAATGTTAAAAGCTAAAAACTATTGCTCACTTTGGCAAAAAAAAAAAAAAAAAGTAATACAAAGAGGAAAAAAATATATATTTTTCTACTTTTGTTACTCTGACTTTTATCCCTACTCAAGTTGTAAATAAGTAAAGAAATATATTATACTTTTTTTTTACTTCATACATAACAAATGTAATGCATATATTAAATATATGTATATATATATATATATCCAGACTTTCTGTCTTCATCATAAAAGCAGTTAACAGCAGTTAGTCCTCTACATGAAGTCCAGTTTAATTGGAGCAAAAAAAAAAAAAAAAGTGGACAAGTTGGAGTAAGATTATTAACTCAAGACAACACGCTTGCTTTTCATTTTACATCTTGGAACAAATAACTTATTTTATCAACAGTCCAATTTTCTCCACAATTTTCAGAGTTGTGTGTAGTCATCAAAAATGTGGAAAGTAAAAGAATATTCCAAATAAAAAGATGGCAAAAAAGGAACTACCTAAAACTGGAGTGAAAATACAAGCCTACATTAAAAAAAAGATTATACAGCGGAGAAAATAAGTATTCAGTATAACAAAATGTTCTTAAGTGGTCAATTTCATACCTTTTGACTTAAATAACCCAAGTTATGTATGTGTACAGAGAAATCAAAGTGTTTCTCTAGGGAATAAATATTGAACATGTGAATAAAAGGATGTAAAAAAAAAAAGTAAAAAGCTAAGAAAACATCTGAAATCTAAGAGAATTTGAGAAGCAATCTTGTTTCCTATTGGTTCGAATTAGTATTGGAAACTGTTGATTTCAAAGAAAGAGAAAAAAGCATTTAGTGGCCACGTCAATCACTGGACTTTAATCCAGTGGGATATCTATGAAGAAAGAAAAGAAAGATTTGAAGTCAGCATGTGGACAACATCTTGAAGTAGTAATTACCAAAACAAGACTTGTCTCTTGAGGAATGAGCAACTCGGTAAACATCTTCAATACTTATTCCCTGAATTCCCACTCTGGCTCCCACACTAAATCTATTATGATGTCCTCTGTATGTGTTGACTACTTGGGTTGTGACCACCATAGACGTGATGGTAACTACTGGGAAAACGTTGACAGGTTCAGAACATATTTTCACCGCTGTTTATGTGACTGTAATGACAGTGACTTCCTGATAAGCAGCTGCTTGAAGTAGTTTGGAGGTTTCACTACAACCAGCACATTGCATACCTACTTGCATATTGAAGAGTGAGGTATTGCTCCAGTTTTAAACTTCTTGCAAGCAAAGTTTGAAGTTTCACAAGTGCCCAAAAAAAAAAGAAAGAAAAAAAAGACCCCACATCTTAAAGACTTTCTTTTTTTTTTTGTCGGCAAAGTAAAACTCACACATTAATAAAACACTCCAAAATAAACAGCCAAACTAGTCGTATCCATTCATGAGTTCATGCTCTGTATTAAATATCTCTTCATTTCAAGGTGGCGTTTCCGTGCCAGTTATAAATACGTTTTAAGTGCACCTCGGTTCTAGAGCGATTTGGAGAAATAAAGAGGGAGGCAGGAGTGTTATACTGCAGAGGCATTCTGACATCTGACTCCAGAGGCTCGAACCCACTCATCTCACTATGATACAGTAATAACAAAAATAAAGTTTACTGGAAATACAAATAGAAGAAGACTCAGGTGCCATGCACAGATGGGAGTCTGTTCCTTCTGGTGTCAACCTCACAGCCCTGTTTTGTTTCTAAAGGCACGTACTGTACGGTGATGTAAGGCACTGCAGCCAAATGCAAAGAGTCTCTCTGAAGTCATCCGACTGGGGTGTACTAAGTATTTGGTTGGCAAAAATGGAAATGGGCCAAGCAGTGTAGGGACCCAGTTCTTAAAGAAAAACAAACATATTTGTTCACCTTTCAAGACTCAAGCATTTCATAACATTAATAAAATATACTTAACTGAAGGAAAACAAACATCTATTCAGTCTTAGTCCCCTACTAATACAGTTTCTAATGATGGGGAACATCTAAAGGCACATGATGTATTCCAGTTTGCTTTTCATTTTTGTGCCTTTCGGATTCCCATCTTTAAAATGTACACACACAAAAACTGCAGGTTGCTTTTTTTTTAGTTTTTTACCCCAAATGTTGGGTTTGTGCTGCTGGGAGAGTGTTTATGTATTTTCAACCAATCACTTAGTCAACAATTATGGCCCAGGTTGTCGGTTTACAGAGCGACATTTTGAACTACGAAACAACCAACCATTGCTGGATGAAATACCAGCGGATAAGATGGTAAATTAATGCTGTGTTGTTATGTTTATGTCAGTGGGTTGTGTTATTGACTAGTGTTAGCATTAAAGAACAAGCTTAGTCACTCAAGATTAACATTAGCCTAGTACCTTAGTACCTGCTAAGTAGTCAGCGCATGCTAGTACTAGCTAATGTTTCAACTAAAGAATTTAAGTTAATATAAGTGGGCTGAAGAAACAGGTTTTCACATCTACTTTAAGTTTCTTTGCAATTATCTTTTAAAGTTACCATTTTCTTAAATGTTTCTATTCAATTATTTTTAACTTTTGAGTTTAATAAAAGATCTGCTGGAAGGAAAAATAATTTTATAGTGTCATATAGTGAGCATGATTTGTCTTTTATCCAAAATGAATTGTTTGCCACTAACAATCTTTCAGTACATAATTATTTCCCTTTCTTTCTATATTTTATTTATTAAAATTTGATATTTTTTATTAATGCTAAGCTAAGTAAAAGCTAAAACTCTTTCAATTTAATCCAAATGTATATGCAAGCTTGGGTTGAGCTACATTTGACCCGCAGATTGGTTAATGGTATGCTCCGAAATTAGGTTGTTTTAAACCCAGCAGTTTTTATAGTGTATCAACATTAAGACACATGTTTCAGAAGGTCATAACCAGGGACAAAAGAATCAGGGAACGAAAAAGAAAAAGACCTAAAACCTTCATTTAAAACAACTGAAACACACAAAATAAACTACACCAAAAAGTACCAATTGGGCACATAAAAAGCAATACACATTCAACCAGCATGGACAGCATCACCTACAGCATGTAAAACTGGCTAGAATACTATATAATAATGGAAAAAAAACTACAAAAATGGATATATCCAAAGACAGTGGTATCATCTTATCAGTAGTTCCTGGTTACCTTTTCCTTCTTTCCATTTACTTCGCTTTCTTTGTTTTCATACATTACACAGTGTATAGATCTGTTCCAGAAAAAAAAGAATACCAAGATAAAAAAAAAAAAAGCTAAAGGAATAAAGCATTAATAATGCGTCTTTTCTTCATAAATACTTCAAAAAGTACCGTAAATGTCCCTGCTGCAACAGCAACAAGATGGTGCAATGAAAGAGAGACAATATGAATATTATTGGAGTTGTGGTTACTGTTGCAGGAGGAAGCATTTGAAGTGTGTTACAAAATTCAGAAAATAAAACAGTGACGCTGTCTAACAGAGCTGCTCCCCTTTCTAGCCCCGGAATAAAGAGAGGATGGCAGCGACTAATGGAAAATACCAGGCCATAATTTTGTCCCAGTCTTGCAGTCTTAGTATTTGCTACGTATCCCATTAGAGATCAAGTTCAAGAGATGTTTTTGTGGCGTGGACAGATGCTGTTGAGATTCAGTCACTGGACGACTCGATCTGAGCCCCCGTTTCAGTACGACTGGTAGACGTCGTGGATGGGCAGTGGGAAGGCCGCGGTGGGGAAGGCCTGGGGCACGGCGTAGCCGGCATAGCCTCCATATGCCGTGGCTGCCATGGCGGCATTTTTCTGCAGGGCAGCCAGAGCGGCTGTGTTGGCAGCATAGTTAGCGATGGGAACGTACCCAGCTCCGTACAGGCTGGCAGCGGTTGGGATGCGTTGGATGTTGTGGGCCATGGCATAGACGGGAGTGATTGGACGGCCCTAGGTCAGGAGGAAGGACAGATAAACTGGATTTAGATAGGAATATAGGAAAATTTACCAAGATTTTAAGAGTACACATCTTAAAAATCCAAGCTGTTTTGACTTGGATTTTGCAAAGCTTGGAGGATATTGTGCAACCTTGAATGAGATGGGATATTCTGAATTTTTACATTTAAAAAAAACGCATACATGTTCCTGCCAATAACATCCATAACTTTTTTTTGCATGTCTCAATGTGTGGGGATGTGAATATGTGATAGACCCACTGAAAATAATAATTGAAAAGTAGAAAGAAAATCATAGTGTATTTGTATTTGTGCTCAATCTTCTGTGCAATGGCATTCTTAATTATACTGTACAGTAGAATAAAAAAATTCTGTGTCCAGATGTGAAATGTTGGCATATTATTTATAAAAAAAAATTTAATGAATGAAACCTTCTGTCATTTTCCTTTAGTCTCACAATTATGCACTACTTAGTATTGACCTGTCACATAAAAGTCCAATAAAATACTCCTAAGGTTTTTGCTTGTAGTGAGGCAAAACAAGTAAACATTTACATGGATACTTTTGCATATGACATTATAAGACACACCTGGAAAGGTGGAGGTGTGGACACTGCAGGTAAGACAGTGGCGGCGGCGGCAGCAGCAGCAGCAGTGGCAGCGCTGTGTTCAGGGTGCTGCATGGTCAGAGGGTTCATGAGGTGCTCCACTGAGTGCACTTTGCCCTCCTCCATCACTTTGGCTGCAGGAGCAGCGCTGAACACTGGGTACTGTGCACCCAGAGCCGGCAATGCCACTGTGCACAGAGAGGTACAAAAATGAAAGCCTGGATAACAGACTGGACCACATACAACCAACCATGCTCAAACATGCATCCAATCATGCTCAGTTTAGCAGGTTTTCTTATTTTTTCCTGAAAAAATAAGAAAAGAAGAGAAGGAGAGGATTGAAACAAGAGGCAAAAATAAGTTATGAAAACAGCAATTAGAGTGTGATTCGGATTATGTTGGTTTTCAACTACGGATTAAGCCCTGCTACTCCTTCACATACACACACCTTTACACCACAATGCAAATACAACATCAGTCATTGTTTTAAATGCACAAAAGAGTTTTCAATCTGGTGCTGATCCTGTGATTCAACATACACAGAAACCAAGACACCGACTCCTCGATCTTGGTCAGTTATGTCTACTTCAGAAAACTGACCAAATGTTGACCAAATAAATACATGACTTTAAAGCAATGACCAGTATGTCAAATGTAATGAAGATGTTGACAAAACAACTTAGCATTACAGAGTAGAAAGATAATACCAGTGTTTGCATGTTGACCTTGATTATTTTTGATCAAAATTCTTTCTTGTGCCATCTAAAAATAATATAATGATTTACTAAAAACAAAAAACTCTTTGTATTTGTTTTACTTTTGCTCACTGTTCACCAAAAAATGTGCCATAGCAAATTTGGTGCACCACTCTAAAATGTGTAATTACCAACATTCATAGATAAAGCAGCATGTTGACGAACAGGAGTTCTCGTTTCATTTTTTTTTTTTACATATTTGCTAAAATTGTCACTATGTCATGAAAGTACAAAATAAGACAGATAATTAGTGAAAAAAAATCTAGTTTCTCTGCCTCCTTCCTGTGGTCTGAGTGTCATCTACAGAAATGCGCTGCTACTGATTAGAAGCAACCAATCAGAGCCAAGAAGAGGGTCTTAGTGCTGTCAATCACCTTTGTGTATGCGCTGCTCACATGCTAACCCTACACAGCGTGTTCTAACATACATAATTCCCACAATCATTTCTGTTTTCTAAATGGCAAAGTAATAATAACTTAGTATTGTTTTTAGAATTATTTACTTAGGTGTTTGTGGCTGGAACTAATGTGACTGAGGTTCAGTTTGTTCATTCACCTTTTCTGCTCTTCCCATTAATTTTCTATGAGACAGAGATTAGGGTTTCAAGATATTGACTTTATTGTCCTTCAGATACTGTAACTAATTTGGTTTCTTTTAGGTCAATGTCCAGTTGTGTCCAAATGTTTGTTTCAATATTTCCACATAATGTCCTTTGATGATGAAGTTCACCACTCCCTCCTGCAACAAAACACTCACCACACAATATTATCCCACTGCTCATAAACTTCACAGTCTGGATGGTATTATCTGGCTAGCAAAAAAAAAAAAAAAGTTTTTAAAAAATGTTTTATATTCATCTCTTAAACGTAGTACGGCACAATGGGTGGACATTCCCACTATGTTTGCATACAGTTGTTTGAGCAGATGAACATAGAACCCATAGGCACTGGGAAATCCTACCCAGACTCGTTCTGGGTAGCTGATTTCTTTTGATTTCACCATGATGTCAGGAGTGCCTCCAATTACCTCGAATGTTGTGAAGATTGGGAAACATTTAATCGTCCTCTGGGATTTGCTAGCTTGTTTAAAGGCATGCTAATCCTAATGTACGACGACCTCTCACTTTGATGAAAGGACCAAGCAACCTCTCTAAAATCTCTTCTATAATTTCAGGATTTAGTAAACAGGAAAAAATTGGTAATCTTAAATTGCCTAACATAGAGAACAAAATATCTAGTATGACATCAAAAAATGAGGAAGGTTGAATGCTTTTCTACAATGTATCTGAATATTTTGTTTCAGTTGTATGCATTTGGCCAAATCAGTCATACTGAGATGTATTGTCATTTTGCTGCAGCCAAATAAACAACATATAATTAAGCTGAATATTTTTCAAAAGGTTTTATATTCTTTGAACAGAACACACATGTAAAAATCCCTGTCTCTTAATCCGGAAATGAACTACTATCCCATCGTTGATACCACTTAGCATAATACTGTCTTCAGCTCTTCCTCCTTTCAAAACTGACAATATCTGAAGGTATGACAAATTTCCAACTAGCTACTGGAAAGCTGGTTGAACTCTCTCTCAGGACTGAATAAGCAAAACATAGTTAATGCACCTTTTTATTTAACTAGATTTTTGTGGCGTGCACCAACAGAGCTACTGTGTTTTCTGTGCTGAGATTTATCTGCCCTGATTGATGTTTCCTTTATGAGTTGAATATCTTCCGAGCATTACCGTCGCTGCACTTCCTTCTTCTTACTGGCAGGAAACAAAGTAGAAAAACTCTCAAAACTTTCCTGTGACGTCCTTCTTCTTTTGGATCATAGCTTATTATTATTGTTATTATTGTTATTATTATTATTATTATTATTATTATTATTATTATTTAAGATCAACTTTTCCAAACACTGGCATTATAATTTAGCTGATTGGAACACAGTTTAAATTTGCAAATTAGTTTTGCATTTCAGCTCCATTTTGACTGAAACTATTGAATGAAAATAAAAAACAAAACATGGAAATTTGAAATGTGCTGGGAAAGACAATTTAATTTTCAATTTGTTTTAATTTCAACTACTTCAACCATTACAAAGTCAAAATTGGAACTGAGTGAATGCATGATATTGTGGAAGCAGATTCTGTAAGTACAACACTGTTTAAACAGATAACGGTGCTGTGTGGGGAATTACACACCAATCAAAAGGTTATAAACAACATAAAATTTTGTCTCAACATTATGGCTATGATGTCAGGTGATTGAAAAATGTTTAAGCTGAAAAACTTGGTGTGACATGTCCAAATTAGGGTATTCCTCCTGATATATATTTTTAATCTCTAACTGCTTTTAAACAAATGAATGCATCACTGGTCTGCATTGTTTAAATTCCCTCAATGATTAAAACAACTGCTGACCAATGAATCCCATTGTTTTCCCTTGACACAGCACTATTATCAGTCTGAACACGAAACAACACATTTCTTTTTTTGATTAGAAGTAGAAAGAGGACTGAAGTGAAGCAGCTACTTTCTGGTCATGCTCAGTTGCATTTATACTCATGACCATCCAGCAACGGCCATCATGCAGATTCAAGAAAGATTCCTTAAACCACGCAGGACAGAGGATTAGTAAAGGCTTGGAGATGGGCGATGACATTAACGAGTATGTCTGTCTCACTGACTTGTGCCTGGTTTGATGCCAACTGGGTTGACGGAGGCAGGAAGCTCCAGACTGGGTATCAGTTCATAGGGCTTTTCGGGCTGCTTGGTCTTGCCCTCATGGTAGCGACTGTAGATGCCGCGACCGGCAGAATAACCCCCTAGGTAAGACCCTCGAGGTCCAGGGGTACGATTACCCGAGGCTGCACGACCACGGCCTCGCACGGAACCTGCTTAAAATACAGTTACAGTATAATATGATGATGGGGTTGTGGGCTGGGATTTGTAGATGTTTTGTTGGGCAGCAGGATTTTACGTTGGGTTTAGAACATCTTTGGAAGCTCCACTTGAGAAATTGACCTTCATGTAAGAGGGTTGTTAAAGTTTTGTTTAAAAACTGCAGGCAGTTAGTATTTTACCTACAGCTGATAACTCTCATAGCATCTTCATCTAAAACTTACTCCAGGTTTTAGATGCTAACGCTAGGAAATAATCTGAGTGGGGCCAAGACCAAAACAGACTATTTAAAAACAAAACTCCAGTCTTAAAAATGTCATAGCAGTTCATGCAAATGTTATTCCATTTATCCCTGAGTCATTGCCACATATGCATTTGTTGTTAATTTACTTTTAAACCTACAATTATTTATACAGGAAACTGACGGTAGGACGTGCGCCACCAAGATCTTCCAGCGTGAAACATGCAGTCAGAGTGACTGTCTGACAGAAGTATTAGCTTCAATGAAAAAAGTTATTGCGATAAAGACTATTATGTTGATTTCCCATCTCTTTATTTTTTCTATCAGATACCCTAACTTAAAACCATGAAATTCAATGTGACTTATTGTACACAGCCTCCAAACTCTATTTCGTAAGTAATAAGAGGCTTTAATTTCAACACAACAGCAGTTTAAATTTCATTAAATTACAGAAATCACCACAACTAAATAATTAAGATTAATACCAAATGAGGATTCAAAGAGAGACGCTGCAATTAAAACATTAACTGCCTTTAACCTATGATCTTTGAACAGAACTTTAAAAAATATTGATTAATCTATTTAAGACCAGCGCAGTAGCTGCAGTCTGATCGTACAAAATACATTTCTCAAAGGATTTGCTCAGAAGTTGGTCGAGAAGCATTGGGGGGAATTTTGGCTTTATTCCTGAAAAACAGTTCAATTGTACTCTGAGGTGTTTGGAGCTTTGGTGATAACCCTATATTAACACAGCATGAAATGGTAGTTGACAGGACAGCAGGAAAAAAAGGTGGTGTTAGAAAATGTAACGGCAAGAAAACTAATTGTTCATTTGAGGTGTAAGTAGGAATATGGACATAAGGGATTACCATTGTTCTGTATCATTGGGGATCCTTTGGAGAGAAAACCAAAACACAATGATTGTTGATAGTCAAAAAAGATTTTCCTGCTTCCACCCAAGACCACATTCAGTCAATCATTTAAGGTAATGGGATTAGCATTCATTGGTCTATCAAATTGTTTAGTTTTTGCCTTTGAACAACAGGCCTCTGATTTTGAGCCAACAAACAATTAGCTAAATATTCTTCAAAACATTGATCAAAGATTCAAACATAATGGGTTTTTTTTTTTTTTTTTGGTCAACAGAAATCTCTGGAGGGGTACTGGTCCAAAAGTTTTTAGCTATCATCAATATTTATAGATATTTCTTTCTTTCAACAAAATAACAGATTTTTTTTTTTTTCATATATAAATATTAATTGAAAAGCATCAAAAACAACCAACCTTTCACAAAGTATTCCCTGTTGGGTCCAATAAGCGTGCTGTAAGGGTAACCATAGTAAGCCAACGTGTAGGGGTCACACTGGTAGATGTAGTTCTGCTGGGTAGGCTCTGGCGTAGCAGCGGCGCCTCCTTTAGAGGCTTTCTGACGTGAGTACTGCTCTTTATCTACCGGCTTGGCAAGCGTCACTTCGATGCAGGACCCTTCGATCTCTGTGCCATTGAGGTGGTCCATGGCCAGCACAGCGTCATCTCGGGATATAAAGTGGACGAAAGCATAGTCACGGATTTTCTTCACACGCTCCACGCATCCAGGGTTCCACTGGCTGAAAATCTGTCAAACCAAAACAAAAAGACAATGCCATCTAATTTATTAATAAAAATATCAGTCGGGTTGAGGTATTAAGTCCCTTCACTACCTGCTGTGGCTTTTTGTATATCAGTTATTCACTCCACAGCTGTTCTTCTTCAACAAATAAAACATTCAGGGCCTACTAGAAAGGTTTAGATCTCCGACATATAGCATTTATTGCCTCACATTCTGTCACTTTTCAGCTAACTTTTCTCACAGGACTTCAAAAACACATACTCAATACCCCCCAAAAAATTTAAGAAATAAGAATCAGAGTGTATATCCTACCTTTCTGATTGTCTCCTCGCTGGTCTCCATCATTAGATTCCTAACGTAGAGTATCTTTACCGTCTCCATCACGTCTTCATCTACGTCAATCTCTGGCTCAGCCCAGTCCACTGCAATCTGGTGGCCCCACAGCTGAATTCTTCCCGGCATCAACTTCCTGCGAGCCATGGCGGCTGCTCGATGCGATTCATACTCTACAAATGCAAAGCCACGGTTCTTCATCTTGTCAGCAGCACTGGCGTACACTATCACGTCTAATACGCCTTCCGTCACTTTGGAGACTTCCTCCAGGATCTCCTCGCGCTTCTTGGTTTTGGGAATCCCACCGATGAAAAGACGGCAGTTGTCCACAGAGGAGCAGACCCCCAGGAGCCGGCCAGGCCGCACTTCATAGTTATTGAGCTCCCGCACTGCTCTCTTGGCCTCGTGCTTTTCTGTGTACATAACAAATGCGTACCCCCGGTTTTTCCCATCAAAGTCCATCATCAGACGCATCTCGTAGATGCGGCCTACTGTCTCAAACACCGGGACCAACTCGTCCTCGTAAACGTCTCGTGGGATCTTGCCAACAAAGATTTCACATCCTCTAGGGGGAGCTGGACCACTCCAGCCTGGGGGGGGGCCGTATTTACGCTGGCCGTTTTCTTGGACCATACCGTAGCCGGTGCGCTCCATCAGGGACAACAGTGCGGTCTCATTGGGAGCTCCTGCAACTCCCTCTGGGAGGGTGACCTGTCCTTGGAGTGGATGGAAGGAGGCACCTGAAGGTTTGGAGGGTTTGGAGGGAGTAGAGTTGTTGCTCATGTTTGATGAGGAAACGGGATCTTCCGCTGTCATTCTGACAAAACCATCCAATCAGATTTTGGGCCTGGAGACAAAAAAAGAAGGACAAAGTTTTGTAAATCAATTTGTAAAAGGAGAAATGAGACAAGACAAGAACAATGATGCTGGTGTATCGTAATATATTAGAAAAAAAATTAATTTAACAAAAATGTTTATTTCACCTATTCAATATAAAAAGTGAAATTATTACATGAAAACATAATACAGAGTGATACGTTTAAAGAATTATTATGAATGACTATGTCTTAAAGTCAATGAACACCCACAATTCAGATTCTAAGAAAATGAGGGCATTTTACAAGACAAACTGCAAAGCAGTGGGTTTTAGGGCCGTAAACCAGACATTGGGTCTTCTGACAGTTTGGGCAAAAAACACAACCTTCTGGAAAATGAAACTAGCACCTCCACAAAGTTTTCCAAAATGGGAAGCTTTGACTTTCTAAACAAAAAACAAAAATCATGGTAGATGGCTGTACTGATTCTTCACTTGGTGACCAGCAGATGACACGACTTTCCAACTCATCACTGACTGTGGAGCCTTCACACTGAACCTCAAGCTATTCGGATTATGTAGCCCTCCATAATTCATCCAGATGGTGAAACATTGATTTTTAAATAAAATGCAAAGCTTAACTTCCATTGAAAGGAGAACAACAGTTTAATCCCTTACTCCTGAAGCCTAAGTATGACACTTCTGAAGTCTGAGTCAGAAATGTCTTCACAACACAATAATGAATAATTGCAGCTCATGTTCTGACTACATCTGGGTGGTTGAGCTTAAACAATATATCTTGTGAAAATCCCTCAAACTCTTGAATGAGCTTTGCTTTGCAGTTGTTTGAGAGTTACTGTATGTCCGTCCATGTTGATTATGAAATTTTTGTTCTTTGTTCACCTTTCTTTTTTTACACTCAACTTTAAATTAATTGGCTTGGAAATGTCTAGCTTCTGTAGTCATCAAAAGGAACCACATAAATGGTTGAAATATATCACTCTATCAATGTAATATGCATTTAAGAAAACTGTTGCCTGTTGATTTATAGGACAAAACATGTTAGATTTTCTGTGGAAACACATTATGTGACCTGAACACAAGTAAAAATACAGCACCTATAAATCCTAAGAGCTCTTTCCCCTATCAGTTGTTTTACAACCTTGTTTTGTTGAGTCCCTCAGATCCACTGGTGACCTATGACCCCTATCAGAGAGAATGAAGGGCTGTAAACCATGAAAACTCCAGCTCAAGGTTCATTGAGTATAACTTGGTCACATGCTCAGTGTGTGTGTGTGTGTGTGTGTGTGTGTGTGTACGTGTGCGACACATATGCGCCTGTGTAAGAAATACCGAGGACGGCTACAGTAAAGCTAAGTGAGGTGTTATGGGTGAAACACAATGCCATACGGTGTCACAAATATCTGCACAATGGTTGCTCATACATGATAATCTGCTGCGCACACGCACACACTACATGATGCTGCTGGACTTTCAACCCTCTTATCAATATGAATGTGATGCATGCAGGTGCAGTTTCACTGTGTGCATTTCTCAGTGTGTGTGTCCTTTCATTAGGAGGCCCAGCCCTAAAAGAGCAACTGAGAAAAATCAGAAATCGGCTTCCCAAACATAAACCTCTTACTTTCTTATTTTCCAACACAGCCAGCATTGAGAACGGAAAAATCCACAGGTTTTTAAATCCCTAAATCTCCTTGCAGCACACAACGTCGAAGCAGCCAATTACAGCCTCCACATTACTACTGTGTTATAGTTACCTTAAAAGTCCTTAGTGAGCGTTATAAAACCTGAATTTTATTTATTTATTTATTTTTAGTTAGGCAGTTACAATGCCCTTGACTTTGATGGTAACCGAAAGCTGTCGACAAAGGTGAAAACACCTCAAGGCCAAGTAGCCATGGTAACATGCACAGTCATTTGACCTGACCCATCATCCAGTTCTCCTAGTCACCCACACATTCATGCACCTGCTGGTCGTTTCTACCAGACAGCAGAGCTTAGGGTTACCAAAAAGTAAGACCCAAAAGGATTCAGTTTACACAAACATTATTTTTGTATGAAAAGAAACACACTGCAAATCATGTGCGAAGCAAAAACTTTAATTGTTCTTAACATGAACTCTTTAAAAGTAGGTCTGTCCAAGAAGACAATACCTAACGGAGAGTTATATCCTTATCTGTCCTGTCTAAATAAAGCTTATTTTACACTAGCCTATTAAAATGACGTGTGAATATGTATATAGTTACTTCCTGATTAATCACTGATGCTCAAGCTTTCAAGTGATGTCCCAGCAACTTGCAATATTTAAACCTCTCAGTAATCATTTGTTGATTTTGTCATTTTCTACTTGCCTTCCGTCATGCGAGGTCCTTACACGACAAGAAGTTTTATCATCACAAAGGGAAAAAAAAACTGTAGGAGTTCTCCTCATTGAGAAAAATATATGCATATTTTTGTTGGCAGAAATGGGATAAGGAGCTTTATGTTTCTGTAATGTTCCCAATTATCATTATTAAGTGAAAAATATTATTGTGATAAGAATTGTGCTTTAGACCATTTACACTCAGGTGCACTCCAATTCCTGATGTGTACAAACCAGCTCATAAACAAACTTGTCTCTGTTTGCATATATTTCTGGTTGTGAGAACAAAGACGTTCATGGTGTGGAAAAAGCTAACCTTTATTTTGCTAATGCTAATTGATTTCTACAGTTCGCCAAATACAATTAGCATCTCTGCCAAGCATCCGACTGCAGGCTAGCTACTCGATCTGAGTGTAATAATCAGGAACTAATTTACCAAAATGAAGCTCGTTGAACTGGTGTAACTTTATTCTGCACAGGAATCACCTGAAAGCTTCTGCTTCACTTATTGTTCATGCTATGTTTACGTCACAGCATAAAAAATCGAAACACAACTATATAAATGATTTAGAAAACGTGATCTGAACTTTAGTGGTAAGATTACTTTAGCAGCAGTTTGCATATTTATTGTCTTAAATAAAAATAAATAATCTTTACATATTTTTGTATTCAATTTCTGTGTGAATAGCATATTCTCACAACACTAAAATCTTACAATGACCCAAGATTATCCCTTACTTCCTCTGATGTGACAGTGATAAAGTGAGATAAAACTGTAAAGACAGCAAAGTCAGAGTGGATTTATAATCTAATCACATCTAGAAAATGTAGAGCCAGCCAAAAACTATGAGATGGGAGTGAATGCATTGCAAAAAAAGGGATATTGTGATCAAAAAGTCCACTGGATGCCCATTCTTTTAAATTGTCCTCATGAGTAAAAGAGGCAAGGAGGAAACCCGCAGCAGAACCTAGTGGATAATTAACCTCAGTCAAATCACAGCCTATTATTCAGAGGACATAAAGATTTACAGATGACGTCTCTTATGGAAAGTTATGATGATCTAGGTGAGATTTCTCAGCTCTGGCTCTAACCTCTCACAGCAAGGGCTAACACTGGTCAGGTTAAACATAATCAGAGCTCAGACACAGAGTTCGCCTGGTCAAAGGTTATGAACTTAAATGTTAAGGAAGTTAGTGTTTCAGTTGTTGCGAATGAGATTGGCCATTACCTTATGTTTATGATTGATAGAAGCACCTGATTCTCTGCATATTAACCCTTATATTGGAGGATGGATTGTTTTATGAGTGCAGAGGAAGGGATTTACGGGCTTTCTTCAGGATCATTTTATGAATCTAGATTGGCTACTGCTGAAACATATTTTTTTCCCCCAGATATATACAAATTATCCATAGCTCTGACATTAAATAACTTCTGTCATTGATGTTTTTTCCACATAATCTGGCCAAACAACAAATCTCCTACCTGTTCACACTAGCCATCAGTTAGACGTATCAATTTATACCAAGGTTTTGAAAAGTAATGGATTCAAAAAACCATTAAGCTATCTTACTCTTTGGTTCAAAGTCCTTGAAAAGTGACCAGCGTATCCTCTGGTTTTATGGAGCAGAGTTACACAGCTCAGCCCCTCCTCCATCAGTTGCAACAAACTAACTAAGCTTTTTCCTCTGAGGAAAAAAAAAAAAAAGCAAATATTTGGCTGCTTGGAAATAATTCCAGTAAAAAAAAAAAAAAAAGGATACTAATGCCTTGGAAACTAAAGTAGCATCACCAACCTCTCTTATCAAGGTAACGCCGCGCTGAACTCCGAATCCTACCTGAGCAGATAACCAATTAATCTCAGCTGATATCATTTTGCTATATTTTTTATTACTTTAACAAAACAGAACTATAAAAAGGGATAATATTTTGCTCTTAAACCTCACATTAAAACTATGACAATTCGAAACCGCGATGTTTTTACTCAAGATTATCGTGTTGTCCGAAGCCAAACTGCAACCTGTGCAAGAGCAGGAAACGCTACAGATGTTTAGCTGACTGTTGCGCGAACTGATCCTGAGCCGGCGTACTGACAGAAACAGGCCAAAGGAAGGCGATATCTTTGTTGTATGCACACATGGACACGTGGAGGCAATCGATTAGCGGTGTCGATCCCAGCAGCAGGAAAGCAGCGTCACAAATCAGCAGGACGGGATCAAAGGCAACACTAATGCTTAAACTGTAAGCCCCAACGTTGCTGAATTTAAGCACAACATGAATCAACAGCACAAAAGGCACTTAATGAGTCAGACAAACAAAAGCCTAAGCCATCCTTTAAATGTCTGACACATTAAGAGGTATAATTCATGAAACAAATATCCTCATTCCATTTGAAGCCTCAGAAAGTTGGCACCGAAGGACTGCAGAGCTCCACGAAGCAAAGACAAACAGAACAGAAGGGGGGAAGTGAGAGTGGAACACAGCAAAAAAAAAAAAATCTTGAGAAAGATGTGACCTAGCAGAGAGAGATGGTGGTGGGAGAGAAAAGAGGAAGCAGAAGCAGAGAGTGGTCAGATAGGAGGATATCTACCCCTGCTGCTCCACAGCGCTCCGCTGCCTGGCTGCCTGCTCAGGGAGTGTTAGTCCACCTCC